TATTTATTCATGTAAAATAGATAATGATGGTATAAAATTATAATAAAAATATGATTATCAAGAGGCTTTAAAAATAGCAAATAAATTCTAAAAAATATAAAACTTTAGAAAAAGTTTATAAACATGAACACAAACATGTTGAAAAAAGAATTTTTTTTTCAATTTGCATTTATCATTTGTAAAATCACTACTGTTTGCAAAACCACTAAAATATGGGCTTGTGTAAACATGTGAATTTTTTATTTTCGACTCAAAACGGGTTTGGAAAACTTATGAGATGTTTTCATGGACTTAAGAAAAGATGTTTGTGATGTATATATGGTCCAACACCTATTTATATAGAATTTGTATAAACACATCTATATTTTGAGAAAAACCACAACTATACGTGTGTGATATATTGAGCTTGAAGAATTGCACACACTATACGTTACAAAACTACTAATATACCTAAGTGATTGCACACACAGCTTGATCTTAAATCTTTAACTCTGATATGAATGGCTATTCATTATATATAGATATCCTAAAAAATAAACAAACGACAACCACTAGGAAATAAATTAGCTATAAATTGTTTGGCAAATCATCATCAAAATAAAAGGGCCAACAACATATGGTGCATCTCATCAACTTCTGGTACATAGTCTACTTCCCTTTTGATTCTACAATTTATTTCTTATTTTGTCAGTTCTTGTTCTGACTTCCACGTCTATCCAATCTAAATCTCCTTTTCATTTCATCATTCTTGCGACCATCAATCGAGAAAATTTCTTTCCGTTCCTTTTCAATCACTAAAACTTTCTTCAATACCGCTGCATAAGTGGAGAGTTCAAATGAGCTCCCTTGAAACCTTATATTAGGTTGCAGACCCTCCTCAAAACGACGTGCTCTATCTTGTTCAGTCTTAAAAAACTAGGGTGCAAGCTTGGATAGATAAGTAAATTCCTCCTCATACTCAGCTACAGTCTTATCATTTTGCTTCAGCTCATGGAATTCCTTCTCCTTCTGCTAGCTAATAATCTTTTGAAAGTATTTCTCATAGAAGACTTTCTTAAATTCTTCCCAATATATTTGGTCAACACCATCTCCCAGAATCCTCTGTTGCATTTGCCACCAGATATATGCACGTCCTTTTAACATATATATTGCATAAGCCACTTTTTCTCCATCAAAACACTTCATATAAATAAAGACTTTCTCCATCTCTGTGATTCAGTCTTTAGCTACCATAGAATCAACACTTCCTTCGAAGGTAGGCGGTGACAACCTCTTAAACTCTACCATACCACTTCACAATCAAGGATGATCATTGTCTCAAGAATTTTGCTGTTTGTTCAGTTGTTGATGTTGATTTTGCATCACAGTAGTGAGATTTTGCATCATCTGCAATATAGCATTTGCATCCAATTGGTTTTCTACAGAACCAGATACACGTACATTTCTACCACCAAATATTTGCCCCAAAGTCTGGTGCAAATCACTTTCTCGAGTTGAAGTAGTGTTTGTGTTGTTTCTAGCCATCTACTTATAAAGCAAACAAATAAATATATCAATAATCCCTAAAAGCAATTCTAAAATTCATTTCTAAATGCTATTATAGATTTATAAGCCTAGAACTTCTAGCCTAGGATCTGATACCACAAGGATGTAGAGCACTATTTTTTTTAAGTTAATGAAGAATTTTATAACTGAAGGTAGTAAAGAGTTATAATTGGGTTATTGGATTGTTGTAATTACAATTAATGTGAGAGTTTAGAAATCCAAAAGCCATAGAAACTTTAAAAAAACCCCAAAATCCCCAAATCTTCAGTTTACAAGAAAAAAGGAAAACAAAAAGGAAGTGAGATTAGAGAGAGGAAGAAGAAGGCAGGAATAGAGTTCAAAGAGGTGGAGTTTTTCTTATTTTCTTCTCTTAGATTGGTTTATATAGAAAATAAAAGGGAGAGGTTTTTGGCCGCCGATGTCACCTCCGTTGATATGCAATGACCTCCGGCCAAACCTTGGTTAAGGGTCTTGCTAGAGGTAGTAACCCAGGTCGCCAAGTCTTAATCAAACTCATTTGCGTTTAGGTGTAGATGAGAAACAACCTCAAGGAAGAAGAAAAGGAAAATCATGGTCATGCCTAGAAATATCAAAAAATAGTTTTGGGTCCAAAAACCTATAAGGAGATGTTTCTAAATGAAACCTATTTAATGAAAATATTTCCTTTGAGCTCTTAGTTAAATAAAGTTTATGATTAGATTCTCTAGAATAAAAAAATAGAAACAAGTTTCAGAAAAATTCTAGAAACTAGAAACCTTAGTAGTATGCCCAAAATAGTTTATGTATGAAATCTTTTGTATTAGATATTTATGCAATTTGTATGATTATAGGTTTGATCAAGGAGTAGGTTCTTGGAGTACGGTTCTTCAAATTGTTATCAATTCTCTTGATGTGAGCAGATTTCTTCTCATATATGTTTTCTATTATATATTATTTAAATAATAATTTATTTTTGTGTAGAGAAATTATGAATTAGACATATTATTATGTTCATTACTAGTAATTGTTAACAAATTTAAATTGTGATAGCTATTTATCTTTTACAAGGTAAATGTTATTTTAGTATATGAGATTATTGAAAATACATCATTTCAAATTTACTGTTCAAATGCATGTATTAAAGAGTTCTATTTGAAAAATAAATAAATTATCTATTCGTTTAGATTCATGAATATTCTACTTTCATGAAATTGATATGAGAAAAGTTGGAAAAAGTGTTTAAGCATATATATTGCTTTTCATACTAATGAAAATTATGGGTGATGTCTTAAAAGAAAAGAAAAATGTTTTAAATCTTAAAAATCCTCAGAAGTCCGCTATAGAGTGAAGTGATTTATTTAAGCCTACCATATGGTATTGAATGTACCGACAAATGTTAAAGTGATTTTTTTAGCAAAAGTGAAGTGATCTTCAGGCAACCTATGGTAGTGTTAGGTACATTATATCATCGGGTTAACTTATAGTGATTTGATACGTGTTTCCATGCTACTGGGCTATAATTTTTGTAGCCTTAGTGTGGCAACTGAGGAAGTTTTGAATGTGTGGATTTAGATGGATAATTACAATTTTAAAAGTATTTAGTGTCCATTCGTATAGTTTCATAACTTGTGAATATTCTTTTATGAAATATCACATCTATTCTTGGAAATTCATCTTATTCGAAATATTATGTGTTTCTTAATCGTCTTTTTTTGACGATAACTTATTTAAATTTTAGTATTGATAAATTCTTAAACTTGTCTGATCTGCTAATGATAAGTTTTCTGCTCACTGAGTGTAAACTCACCCTGTTGTTTTTTAATCTTTTTTAGATGAAAAGATAGCTTTATCTGTATCTCAGAGCTTCAAAACATGAGAAGGATCTTTTAGGGTGATTGATGCTGAAAGTTAAAGTTATACGAGTCTTGCTACTATGCATATGTAATAAGAGTCTTTTGACTAATTAGAGTGAACTTGTTATAATGTAGTTTTGCTCTGAGACTTCTTTATTTGTCAATAAAATTTCTTTTAAAATAAAATTTATTGTATTATGTAAGTGCACCACAGGCTTAGCATGTGCTTTGTGCACGTGTTGCCGTTGTTATGTATCTCAAAATAAGCTGTGCATTTTGGGGGCGTGAAAAATGGTATCAGAGCAGTTGTCAGTCAAAAGTGTGGAGCTAAGTACTATACTGGGCTAAATGCTACACCACGTGATGCGATGGGAGCCACCTCTAGACCCCGTAGGAGTCACCTCTAGAATTCACATCGCCTGGCAAGTGATACTAGGATGTGCCAACTGTCATGTCGTGACGATGAAAAAGGCATCTTTGTAAGGTGGGGTGATTGTGGCACCCTCACTTTACTCCCACATGAACTAGTGTGAAGAAATGTTAGTGGTTTAAATAAAGAAAAGCCTAATGCCCAAAAACAACTAGTGCTAGCATTTTGACGGTGGATTTAACCAACCCACGAGTTGCTCTCCGTAGACCCACGGCTTACACCCGCCAATTATCCAAAAGTATTTCGGTTTGATAAAAGAATTGGCTACTCACCTATAATCTATTTGTTATTTCGGTTTGATAAAAGAATTGGCTACTCACCTATAATCTATTTGTTATTTCGGTTTGATAAAAGAATTGGCTACTCACCTATAATCTATCTATCAAACAAATTGACTACTCACCTCTTAGTCCAATGCCCCTACGCCAAAACGGTCGGACAACATGCAGATCGAGGGTAAAATACACATAGATTAAATATCGTTATATATGATTGGTTTTCAATTTAATGATCTCATTTTTTTCTGGAGAAATGTGTTTTTTTCACACAAAATTCATGGAAATAAATACGGTACAAGGTGACATACTACATTTTCCCTAATTGATCATGTGGTTTTTGATAATTTTACCCACGGCCAATCATTTTTTTGCTTTATAAGTATTTTTATTCACTTTTATTTGTATTTACTATTTAGCGCACCAATGATGAGCATAAAATTATAAAATTATCAATAAAAATTCTAAGTATAATCGTAATAAGTTATTTTAGAACATGACTGAGGGAAAATTCTGGCTCCAACCTCGCATCAGAGTCTGGGTTACTCATAGCACTAACTAATAATTGGTCGGCTTGGGGATTTTCTGAAACACGTCCCGGTCTCGTTGAAAGCGTCTCGGGGTCGGGTTGACTTGAGGTTTTCACACTCGCCCGGGTTTGACCGTAGGATCAGTATTCGACCCGGTACGTAAAATAAAATTAAAGAAAAGAAAAAGAGCAACATGGCTTTCATTAGATTGGAGTATTGGACCCCGCCCGAGCTCTGCACGTACGACCACCATTGTGCTGGAAGTGATGTCTAGTGCAGGCACTGGGCGGTGCGCAGAACACTGCCCACCATTTATTACTCGGACCCCCACGTAGTTGCCCATAAAAGGGCTCGTTTGGGCCTCTTACTTAACCTCTGCGAACGAACTCAACCGTAACCGCTCGCTCAATCAAAGTCCACCTCGATCCCTCTCTCTTTCTCTCTCTCTCATGGATATTTTCAATGGTTTTCTGAGCGTAACAATGCATGTAGCCGTTGCCGTAGTCTTGTCGGTCTACGTTCCAATCTCCCTGCTGTGGAGATTGGCGGTGTTTATATTTGCAAGGCCGTTCCTGGGAGAGGACTTGAAGGGGAAGGTGGTTCTCATCACCGGCGCTTCCTCCGGCATCGGAGAGGTACGTAGAAGATCTTCAATCTCCTTCATTTTTCTTTTTAATTCGGTGCTTAAAACTCAAAAAAAAAAAAGCGAGCTAGCTTGCATATATATATATATAATTAATTCACGATTGCCTGCATAAATCGCATAACGGGCGAAGCCGGCCAGGAGACTAGCTAGGAACGTTCACATGGTTTGTACTATTAATCAGGACAACAGTTTGTGCCTTTAAACTTAAAATTAAGAAGATACAATGTATACATGGATGCCTGTGCGCATAGCCTCGGAGTACGTGTCCCTTTTACGCGATTAATGAATGAATATGTGGTTGGTATTATCACGTTCACGTTCATTTGTACCAAACAAATAATAATAAGTAAATTTACATTTTAATTATGAACCAATTAAGGAGTAACGAGAGGGTCTATAGTCATTTCAAGGAGTACCACCACTCCGGTTAGAAACAGAGATGACCATCTTATATTGAATCCGGACTCGCGCATGGGTAACAATTGTTTAAACTCAGCATTAAATTTGTAGCCAACAAGATTCGACCTTGGGTGGCTCTGATACCATCGTAAATTAAGTCATCTAACAATTACGGCAAAACTTCAAAGTTATATAAATATATGTCAGGATCAGGAATTATAATCTATATTAATTCTAAAGGATAAATAACAAAATTATGAACAATGGGTACACAAGATAAATTTCTGGTTACTAAAATATTTAAAAGTAACAATTAGACAAGGGTTTCATAAACAATATTGACAGGGTCATAGGGAATATGTTTGTTGAACAAGATCATCTTGTTAAAAATTGGTTTTGGTTGCCAAGCCCCCTATATATCTTACAACACTTTTATCTTATATTCAGAAAATTGTTTTTGGTATCCAAGCGCCCCTAAAGAATGAGTTTGGCAAACCACCCACTCTCTAGGTCCTGGAAGTCATATGGTCAAAGCCCCTAGATCCCTACATACAAATTGTCATATGGTCAAAGCCCCTAGATCCCTACATACAAATTAAGATTACTTGTAATAATGTGCAAGGCAAACATCTAGTTAAATATAATCAAAAAGGAAAACCTCAGCTTACAAATACAAATATTGCTTGTAATCACGTGCAAAGAATTACCCCGATTCACCTCTATATCGCGCTAAGTAATATTGCTTGTATCTTTCGGGAAATAATAATAATAATAATAATATTCGTAACGAGTTCCAAGCTTACATCTGAAAAGGAAGATGTCCCCTTGATCCCACTACACCTGTGAGACAAATATGATAACAAATCAAAACATCTAGAAAATTATCGCCAAAAATAAATAACCCAAGCGACCATCAAAGGAACAACGTACAGATCGTTCATTGACGTGCAGGAGAGCTCAAAACATCGATCCAAGCCATTCTAATATTTCACTACAGCTCTTTTCACATTTCTCTATTTAAATTTGCACACTTGAATATGCATCAAAATGCAATAGACAAATCAACTTAAATATGCATTACTGAGTTCTCTTGCGGAGGATTGAGCAAAACAACTATCCAAGCTTCGGTAATTGAGAAATTAATTACAGCGTTGTTCCTCCGGAGGCTTATGATAAAACACCCGTTTCATTCTTTCTTGCCGCAGCAATTAGCATACCAATACGCGAAGAGAGGAGCTTATCTAGTCCTCGCTGCAAGGAGAGAAGACGCTCTCAAGGCAGTAGCTAAAACTGCTCAAGAGTGTGGAGCCCCTGATGTGCTTGTAATCCCAGCAGATGTCTCTGATTGCTCTGAATCCAAAAGGCTAGTTGATGAAGCAATTGTGCATTTTGGCCAATGTGAGTAACACAAATTTCTGTTCAACGTTTGCTTCAAGGAATTGAACTCAAATCTTCTTTATGTGCTTTTGCAGTGAATCACCTCGTCGTCAATGCAGGAATTTTCTCCAGCTGCCTCTTTGAGGAGATTACCAATATCGCTGCTTTCAAGCAAGTCATGGTAAACAAATGAGACTTCGCACAAACAGCTATTTGTCATTTTTCTAGAACTTTGTTTATTTTCAAATGCTTAAATAAAATACTAAGCCATAATTATGATGAGACCAAGAGCAACAGAGTATAAATGTTTTGACGAACCACAAACAATGATTTTTTGAAGCATCCAAACTCATGTACCAATAATGTGAAATTACAAAGGCCACAATTAAGTTTCAGATGCCAACATGCCTAGTTCACAGAACATTATCATCCAAGACAAACAACATTTCAGAAAGCAACTCTAGTTAAAGTGTACTTGATATATGTTGATATATAGATTGTATTTCAAATTCTTAACAATATAAGATGCTTATAAGTAGGACCACATCAAATCAGTGATACTAATTTTGCCTTCTCTCAGGATGTCAATTATTGGGGATCAGTATATCCAACTTATTATGCCATCCCCTACCTCAAGAAAAGCCGAGGAAATATCATTGTCACAGCTTCTATGGCCGGTAGAGTTCCAACAGCAAGACTGAGCTTTTACAATGTAAGATGTAAAAGGCCATCAAAACATAATACATCAAAAACATCACACCTACCATACCAGTTTCTAACCTTATATTGTGATGAATTCGTTTAGGCAAGTAAAGCCGCACTAATCAGGTTCTTTGAGACTTTGAGGGCGGAACTAGGTTCAGAAGTTCGAATCACCATACTGACACTTGGGTATGTTGCTTCAGAGCTCACAAAGGGGAAAGCTCTTCAAAAGGGAGGAGAGTACGGAGTCAATGAAGAAATTAGAGATGTAAGTAGGGAATAATTACATCAACAATGCAATTATATTAATTATCACAAAAACTTGCAAACTGAACTGGCAGAATGATGAACTTGACAGGTCCAGGTCGGACCTCTACCAGTAGGATACACTGAGAAGTGTGCAGAAGTGGTGGTGGATAGTGCATGCAGGGGAGATGCATACGTGACATGGCCATCATGGTATAGACCATTTCATATGGTCATGTGTGTGGCCCCTGAGTTAGTGGACTGGTTCTCACGTTTGTTCTATGTCGCTAAACCTGGAAGTTCTTCAGGCAAGACACTCGGTCAGAAGATACTGGAGGCGAGGGGGGCTAAGAAATTCTTGTATCCAGCTTCCATCCGATCCCCCAGTACGATTTTGGTCATGACTGACAATCAAGGAATCAAAGTGTAATTGCTAGTTATTGAGAATAGGAAGGTGATGATTGTGTTTTACTTTATATAAATTTGATTCATCTCTTTTGTTAGAGAGCATATAAGCTTATGCCGTCCAACAAAGAAATGGCAAATTTTATTGCAACTATTGCAAATTTCATGTATGAGTCAAAGAAAATATTAATAGAATTTAGCCAAGAGATATTATAAGTTACGTAAAAATATTCTAGCCTTATAGGTTTATTAAACGTATTCTAGCCTTATAGGTTTATCTCATCCCTATGATCTCCAGCAAAGGGATCTTCACTCCAAAGATTGCTTCTAAATCAAAGAAATGGTTTCAGTTGGAGTCTTACAGAATAATGCAATCAGTATCAGGCATGCTGTTACTGGGTGGTCAATGTGCTGTATGCATAGGATGACAATGGTTATTGACCGGTAACAAGAAATGTAGATATATCAGTATCAAGTTTGGTGCAAGGATTTGAAGTGAAGTCTCGAAAAGTTCATAGAATTGTAAAAGGTTAAAAGCCTTGAAATTTTATGTTTGTAGAAGTGTACACAGCATGAAAGATATGCCTTATCGAGAGTTTATTTCATAAATATGAAAATTTGAGGTTCATGAACAGGATTCAAAATGGTAAGGATAAGGAATTCTTGAAAAAATTGGGTGTAGAAACTAGTAGAAGTTTTTCATTCAGAAAACAAATGCCATACACCAAGGTATTAATAAAATCATACAAGTGTTGATAAAATAGTTTAGGGCCGTTAGTGAATATAGCCTCGTTGTACATCTGTGTGTCTGCAAGTAAACCTCGAAAAAGATTATGCATGATAGTTAGGTGGCATGTCTAGGTTCTTGGTAAGCAGGGTATGCTATTTTGAACAGTATGCAATCTGAAGATGAAGACTTAATCATATCAGTATTTGTGATATTAGTAAACTTGGCAGGATCGCACTATATTTGGAACGTCATTCGGGTCATTTTGATAAATATGAACATGATGTGCATGTGTGCAGGGGCACATACAAGACACAAATATACCTTGAAGATAAAGTAAAAAATTGGAATAATGATGACAGAAACCTGCATCTTCTAATCTCTGCAAAACGAAGTCCTGATTTGAGTCATTCAAAAAAAAAGCAACTACTTTAACTAAGGCATATTGAGATGCCAATTAACTAAACAAGTTTATAGAAATGTGCTAGAAGGTGATGAGTTTCTCAAGTAAGCTGATAGAATTGCATTCCCTTGGGATCAGATGCCAATCAAAGTTTGAACTCTAAGTTATTAATTAAAACTGGATTGAAGTATATTTATCCAATTGGATAAGAGCAGAACGTGTACCTTGAAAGAGCATGTAACCTCATATGCAAATAGGCTTCAGCCCAAAATATAGCCTTCACTCCATGACGTACTAGCACATGATAATGTCAATAGTTAAAGAGAATGACTATATAAGGAATGTATGTCAATAAATAATAAGCATTACAACTCATTAAAATTATTAATCATATATATGGCTTTTTGACATTGTAAGAGAAGCTCAAACTAAAGCCAACACCAATCACAACTAAGCTGGAACTGAAACTCTAGAATGCCTAGAGCAAATGCAATATCATGATATCAGCTCTTTTCTCATAAACGGTTTTGAAGGGAAGAATACAATATGTAGTCAAACAAGTTTAGTATCCAGGTACCTACTAAGATCAGAATATTAGGAACCTCAAACAGGTAGGATGTTCAAAGTATAACATTGGTCTGGTTCAAAAAGCATTGTGGAACAGCCGAACAGGTAACAAGTGAACAATTAGACAGCTAATAAATTCAAAGACCACATTAAACTGAAAAGATTCTAGCAGGAACCTACCTCACTCATGAAAGATAAATAAACAAATTTGAGCATCCAAATGCCTGTCAAAAATATAAAAAGTGGAGCTTTCAAATAGTATTCAAATTCATGAAAATGCACAACATAACCTTCTATGAAGAGAAATTAGGAAGAAAATGTATGAAAAATCCCCCCGTGACTCCAAATCTCGACCAAAAGCAGTTAAAACCACTTGAGATCCAATATGGAGGTGTGCCATTTCGGTTCCATGGCAGGGGACAAATTGAAAGAAGAGAATCAAAAAAACGAAGCATGAACTAATAGCCTGAATGTCATCCATACTATGACCAAACTGTAAAAAACTAAATACTAACCATAAAAGTGGCTAATTCTCAAAGATTTAAGTGACAATCTTCTCGCCAACAATTTCACAATCGTTCTGAGACATTTCGTGGTCCATAAGTTACCGTAGCCAACAGGCTGTGTAGAATCAAGGAGATAAATCGATGGGCTTCAAATGACTGTGTGGCGAATTCTGAGGTACAGTGAACCTTTTCAATCTTCGAAGGAGCATCCAAGCATCTGATGATGAACAACCTTGGTTCATCTCAAGGACAACAGGATAAGTGGAATTTTCATTTATCTCCACAAGAATTGTTCCCTGTATCCAGAATAAACATGTTAAGCAACTTCCCAGAAATTGTGCAGGCAAATGTGAAGTTTTAAGTGTGAGCACCTATCATGGGACAGTATAAACTGCCTCAGAATCAATATCTAAGATGCAAATACTGCAGGCATCTAATTATTTCAATAACTATGCTCCAGCATCAATAACTAGGGATAATGTTTCTAGATATAGGTCCAAAAGCAAGCAAAATGTGTGGAAGTGCCTCCATCTGTATCTGTGTTTGTGACTAAGATAGTCCAAATATTAAATTATAATACCTCAAACTTTGCCAAGAAAAGTTGGAATGTTTTCATTGTCTCCTTCATATCTGTTACGATCTGTTTGTCAGAAGAAGATAAAGCTGCAGTAACCTCTTCCGGAGAGTGGCCTATACCTTTCTCTACAACCTAAGAATGAACCATAGACAGAGGATAAATTCAAACAAAAAACAACAAAAGACAATATAAGGGTAAATAAACTTACATAGTGATCAATAACAACCTCAGAAATGAGGCTGCCATCATCTACATAGACATGAAGTTCATATGTACTGCGATGTTTGAATTGGAATCCCTTCACACCAGTCAACGTACACTAGAGAAATGTTGGATCTTTCAGCATCGAATGATAACCTTTAACGAATCTATAATTCTATGCTTAGAAATAGCAATATCACCATTAAAAAGAAGATCCACAGAACAGAAAATCCACTTAACACTTCATTAGCATTAGCGAATACACACTTCCACACCAGTCAGGATAACAAGAGGTTTAAAATGTGATAAACCGATTCTTTAACTGGATTCCAATGATTTGCAGTCATTTGTCCAATTCTCCAACTTATACTAAATAATTTAATATAATCTTGCTTGAAGGGATTCAACCAGCCAGGGCAAGGCAAATGGATGGTGACAGTAATTTCACTTTTAGTAGAAAAAGTATATCCATTTTGGTGTCAAAATACACGCAGAGAATACAAAAGTAAACTTTTAATTTATGTACTTTAGCAAGATATTATGGTATATTTATCATATAAGTGGCTGGTTAATTATGCTTCTCGAGCAAAATCAGACTTCATTACTACCAGATTTGTTGTTTAATTGAAACCTAAATTATAACTTTTATTTGATAATAAAACAGTACAAGATATGGAGAAGACTTATCAGTCAACATGAAATGAAGAAAACAACTAAAGATTATAGTAATTAGTTTTGTATGCAACTGTTGATTTGGAAAATGCAGAGACTCCAAAACAAGAGCTTTACTTACTCTAAACACACAATTACCTTAATCTTTCCTTGAAGAGAAGTTGCATGATCTTCCTGTGTGGACCATTTTGCCAGCAAACAAGCCAGATATGTGAAAGGGAGTTCTCTATCCCCAGTTAGAATGAGGGGATGTTCCAATTCACCAATGTCGCCTTCCGCATCCAACACAATGGTGTCTTCCACATGTGGACTTCGAGTGACTGTACCAGGATCAATCTCCATTCCGCTGCTAGTTGTAGGCTCTTCTATACCACTTCCTTGATGATGAGAAGTACCAAACTCATTGACAGTGCTCTTATTCATACCTCGAGCATTCAGTTCCTTGTTAGTGTTAAACCCAATAGTAGGATCATCATAATCTGCAACTGTATTCACCTCAATAACACCACTAGAGGAGGCAAAGGTAGCAGCTATGATCTCTTTGCTTCTGAGGGGAGAAGATTCATTTACAATGTGGGCACTTGACTGGGGAGCAATAACCTCTTCTGTGGTCCTTTCTACAAGGCCTTGAGCAGCCAATTCTGCCGCAATGTTTCCACCAATATATTGATCATCAAATTCTTCAAGTATGCTAGCTTCATTGATACTCCTTGAGGATGACAAAGTAGCAGCTGCAAAAATTCATATAGAAATATAAGCAAAGGGGGGGAAAGGTAATTTTCAACAAATATAAGCAATACATACAATCTTCAATGTGCAAAATCTATATCTACTAGCATAGATGTGCGATTGTAAACCTTTACGAGAAGCTCGTGTTAGATGTTCAAAATAAGGACTGTATTTTCTTTTCATTATATAATTTCACTCTTATTCTGAGGGTTCTGGTTTTAATAATTTTGACATATTCATTTATCATATCCAGATTTAGTCTAAATCAACAACAACAAAGCTGCAAAGGAATAAGTTAGCACTTTGTGGGGCTTTCTGTGGGGGTGGGGGGATAACAAAAGTAAGAGGAGATGCCATAGTCAAACTGTTGGGTTTTCCTTGATTCCTAAATTTGCTCATTGAATCAAACCCATAAACATCAGGTCTTAATCCTAACCTTAGTTTTTTATGGAAAAAAAAACTCTACTGCTATCTATCAGATCTCTTGATACTACTCTGATTCAGATCCAGTCTCAACTAAAGCTTGGCCGAACACTCGCCAACTCCAAACCCATGCTGACTATGGCACAACCACAAACCTAAACCCCCTTACACTTACTTATTTCATAATAATGAGAGATAATTCATGCTAAGCTTCTGAGCCAGATTCTCAATTTTATGAAGCCAAGAATTAAGGATTTGGCGATTTAATTAGCTACCTTGAAGGAATCGTGCAGTTATCTTAAAAAGTTACATTTGGGAATCATATGAAATTCAGAAGAGATGTTTCAAGATAAGGAAAGTAAAGCTCGATCCCAGCATTATAAAGATCTCAACAGAGTTTAAAAGAAGTTGAAGGTGTTTATCTTCTGCATCATCTGATGTGAGGAAGATGCAGCAGCAATTTGACTGACTAGTGATTAGTGAATTTGCCACTTGAGCATACACCAATAAGACCTTAGGTGATAGAAATTGCCACTATGCCACTATAAACTCATTGCGAAAAACATAGTCTTTTTCAGAGTGATTTCCCAGAGTCCTTGAATCCAGCAATAAATAACCTTCCGGAGTTTTGCGCTCTAGTTGTTCAACGAAGACAAGCTAGACAAAAAAATAATAAAAGATGGAATACTCGTGTTAGAGGTTGTAATTCATGAGGAAGATATGGAGGTGGTCAACAATGAGCTCGATAAGATGATAAGAGAACATATTATGGTGTCAGTCAAACTCAAGATACGTCACTGTTGAAAAAAAGGTCACACAGCTCATTTGCTGGAAGCTGTATGGTAACTGGTAAGCCAACTAACAAGCGAGGCACCACCAGGCCAAGGGCTATGACAATAACTAAAAAGGAACATCCACTTACCAGATGTTGCAGTAGTCTAATCACATAACTGAAGATAGGTATTTCATCAGTTCTAAATATATGTTCAACATTTTCTTCTACAGCAACATTTGCAGATGATTAGACATGTCATATAAAAGGCATTGTTTCTGCAGTTTTCCCATAAATATCATCATTTGCGTTCCAAAAGTTTCATTCAATTTGACTCAAATGTCCTTTCAACCATTTTCATGATGTTCTTTCTTGATCATTCTTGTACTTCAGAAACTTTGAACATAATGATAGAAATCAAATTGGAAATCAATTGAAAATTAAACAAAACTGACCTTTAATTCGAGAGTTAGGCCACACCTCTCCCAAGAACACTAATCTACTACTAAGCTTCTCCAAAACAAGCATAAGAAACCCAAATATTCCCCTAACACACTTCGAAATCTCCCTCCCCCACTAATGACCTTGTCAAATTACAAAACTGCCCCTGTTCTTAAACATGCGTCTATAATACGTTTTCAGCCCCTCCTTTCCAAGTCTTTAACATTACTCCCCTCCCAATGAGACACCTTGTCCTCAAGGTGCAACAAAGGAAATTGCTCCCGAATCAAGTCAAACGGCTCCCATGTAGCTTCATAGTCCGGTAGATCTTTCCACTTGATTAGCACCTCCCTTCCGCCCAACATTCACTGACGAAGTCCGTCCACTGCCTCCAGTTCCAAAACGACCTCCATATCCTCAATCAAAGTAGCGGCAGTGAAGGTGAGGAAATGTGATCTCCAATAGCATGTCTCAACAAAGACACATGAAACACCGGATGAATGGCCGACGTAGGTAGCAACCGCAAACGATATGTCACCTCGCCAATGCGCTTTATGATCTCATAAGGCCTAAAGTACCGAGCAAAAAGCTTCTCGTTCCTCCGTCATGCTAACGTCTTCTGCCAGTATGGTCGGAGCTTCAAATAAACTCGATCCCCCACCTCAAACTGGACATCTCTCTTATGTCCATCCACCTGCTGCTTCATAATCTGTTGAACCTTTAATAAATGCTTCTTCAACTCGGCCAAAATCTGATCGTGCTCCTCCATCTATTGATCAACCTGCAACACTGGCGTGGTTCGGTGCCCATAGTGCACCAAATGTGGTGGATCCTGCCCACACAGAATCTTAAAGGGTAGTTTGTGTCGTCGTATGATAAGAAGTGCTATACCAATACTCCGCCCATGCTAGCCACCTCACTCACTACTTGGGTGTCAGACACGAAACACCTCAAATATGTCTCCACATTCCGGTTAACGACCTCTAATTGTCCATCAGTCTTCGGATGATAAGCAGTACTTCTCTTCAGAACTGTCCCCTGCTTCCGAAACAACTCCCTCCAAAAGTGACTCAAAAAGATCTTGTCTCGATCCGACACTATCGATTCCGGAACGCCATGTAGTCGCACAACCTCTCTCATAAATGTTGCTGCTACAGACACTGTCGTATAGGGGTGTCGAAGGGGTATAAAATGAGCATACTTGCTCAGGCGATCAACCACCACCAAAATCACAATGTAACCCTCCGACCAAAGCAACCCCTCGATAAAGTCCATCATCACCTCCTCCCAAACCTTCTTCGATAGCGATAAAGACTACAACAACCCCCCTGGTGCCATTGCCATATCCCAAACCTTCTTCGATAGCGATAAAGACTACAACAACCCCCCTGGTGCCATTGCCATATATTTGTGACGTTAACATACATCACACCGCGCAACCATATCCTCCACATCATTTTTCATCCCTACCCAATATAGCTCCGCCGCCAACCGTCGATACGTCTTGAGAACCCCGAATGGCCACCAATAGCACTTTCATGAAATTCCTGTAGTAATCTCGATATGTGAACAGAAGTCCTTGGTAAAACAAACCGTCCCTGGTACAACAAATGTTGGCCATCCAACGCATATCCGGGGTGCCCCACCTCTCCCCTCAGCAAGGTCGCTCGTATCTTCCCCAACTCCTCATTGGCCTCGCTCTCCTGTTGTAAAGCTTCCCAATTCAACATCAAAGGAATGGACGACGCCGACATTTAAGGCTCCTCAACCTTCTTCGATAGGGCGTCTGTCACCTTATTCTCCAACCCAAGACGGTATTGTATCTCAAAATCATAACCCAGCAGCTTGGAAAGCCAACGTTGATGTTCCTCCATCACCATACGCTGCTCCAACGGATATTTTAAATTTCGCTAATCAGTACGAACTATGAAACATCATCCCGGTAAATAAGGTCGTCACTTCTAAATAGAGAGAACGATCGCTAGGAGCTCTAGCTCACACACCGACTTGAGTCGCGCTCTAGCTGTTAACACCTGACTAAAATAGGCGACTGGTCGTTAATTCTGCATGAGGACTGCACCCAAACCATACACTAAAGCATCAGTTTCAACTACAAAAGGTTGGCTAAAGTCTGATAAGGCCAACACGGGAACACTAGTCATCGCTTTCTTCAACTGCTCAAAGGCCTGAGTTGTTGCCTCCCCCCACTGAAAGTTATCTTTCTTCAATTGTTCTGTCAAAGTCCACGCAATCGAACTATATCCCTTGACGAACTTTCGATAGTACGCTGTGAGCCCAAGAAACCCCCTTTACTCCTTCAAGGTCTTAGGTAATGACCATTCCAGCATTGCCGCTACCTTAGTTGGGTCCGCCGCAACTCCCTCTGTCGACACTACGTGCCCTAAATATTCCACTCTCGTTTGAGCAAACAGGCATTTCTTTCAATTAGCATAGAGCTGGTGGCTTCGTAACTCAGTCAACACCCTCTCCAAATGGCAGACATGATCTTCCAATGTGCTACTATATACCAGGATGATATCAAAGAATACCAAAACAAACTTACGCAAATAGGGTTGGAAGACTTTATTCATCAACGACTAAAAAGTGGCTGGAGCATTGGTGAGGCCAAACGACATGACTAGAAATTCATAATGCCCCTCATGAGTCCGAAATGTGGTTTTATGCACATCCTCACACCGCATTCTAATTTGATGATATCCCGACTTCAGATTGATCTTCATAAACACTGTCGCTCCATATAACTCGTCTAGCAGCTCATCAATCACTGGAATCGGGAACTTACCCAACATTGTTTCCTTATTAAGTGCTCGATAGTCGACACAGAATCTCCAGGTCCCATCTTTTTTCTTCACTAATAAAATTAGGCTCAAAAACGAGCTCACGCTCGGCTGTATTATTCCTGCCTCCTATATCTCTTTGACCAATCTCTCAATCTCATCTTTCTATATCTGTGGATAGCGACACGGCTGAACACTAACTGGCGAAACCCCTTCCCTCAACACGATCACATGCTCATGCTCCCTCTTCGGGGGTAACCCACTAGGCATGTGAAAGACATCCTCAAACTGTTGCAAAAGTTCTTGAATCGACTTTGTAACACTCGTCGTCGCCTCATACCGCTCTCCTTCCATGATATGCAACTCAACTAAGAAGCCGAGCCCATCATCCTGAATCGCTTTAATCATGGTTTTGAGGGTCACGTGGGTTTTGCACAAACTCGGATCTCCACGAAGCACTACAGTTTGACCTCCCTCCTGAAACTCCATTGTCAAAAGCTTCCAATTCACTCTTGTCTCACCCAATGACTGTAACCACTTCATGCCCAGAATGATGTCGCTACTACCC